TAGGCAACCAGGGCAGCCAGCAGCCTAGGGCATCTCTGGCAATTTCCCCAATGGAGTGTTTAACCACAAAGGGAAGAGCAATTAAAGCTAATCGCTCTGACAGCCTGGAGGCCAGACACGTAGGGAAACAAAACATACATATTCAGCATGTTTCCCCTAACTCCCAGTGGTCTCACCTCCATCCTGCTTTCATCCTCCCTAATTTCTGAGCCTCCTTCCCCAGCACCCTCCACACTCTTCTGACCATCTAGGACTCTCACTTCCTTCCTCTCCCTGTTCCCTGACTGAATCTCTGTCCCTGTGTCCCTCTCTTGTTGTCTGCCTGTCACACACATTCCCCTCATTCTCTCTCTGATTTGGGCTCCATCCTTGGCTGACTCATACTCATTTTTTCTTTTTCTCCCTCTCCCTTTCTTCCACCCCCTCCTCCATCCCTTGGCCACTCAGAAGCCCAGAGGCCAGCCACTCCCAGCACCCTAAGCTCCAACTGGACTCAGCAAGAGAGGCCCCCAGCAACCCCTATCCTCACTACTCACCCAGTTTCAAAGTACCAGCTCACTCACCCTCAAGATCCTGTCTCCCTGTCCTGGAATGCGACCAGAATTTTCTACCTTTTTTTTTTCTCACTGTTTTAAAGAGGGGCAATCCGAAGCCTAGGGCTGGGAGAAAATGCCCAGGAAATCAGGGTGGACTTGGGGATGGTGCCCCCGCCCCCCAGCTGTCCTGTTAGGCTGACATTCTTCCAGGAGACTTGCACGTGGGAGGCAGTGGGGATGAGGTGGGGGCTTGGATGCCCAAGTGCAAGGCTGTTTGTGATCTGCTGTGTGCAGCTGATGTGTGTAAGAGTCACATGGGTATGTGTCACCGTGTGTGCTGGCTGTCTCTTGTAGGTGTGTGTGTGTCCCTGACAGTTTTGACACGGATTATATGAAATGAATAGGTTTTACGTTAGCTACTTCACTCCTCTACACCCCCCAGCTCCGGATTCCTTCCCTCGGGACTAGCCTTCGACAATCCCACCTCTTCCCCAGGTGCAGAGACTGGATGAAGGCACGTGGTGCCAGCTGCCGGGATAGGGGCGGCTGCCGGCGGAACTGAGGCAGGGCTGGGCAGGGAGACCGCCCGCCGAGGCGAGTCCGAAGCCAGAGAAGGGGAGGGAGGGGCGGGAGCCGGCCCAGCCGAGCCGGCTGGGCGGGAAGCAGGCTGCATCCCAATCCCCAGGCCCCGGTCCGACTCCCAAACTGCCGTTCACCGTGGAACGGGCGGCCGGAACCACGCCGCCTCCAGCACGCACTCCGCGCTCGAGCACACCCACAGAGACGGAGCCCGTGGGGCCTGACACGGAGCGGACCCGCCCGGGGCCCCCACGCTCCGCATCTGTCCCCAGGCGTCCCGGATCGACGCCCCTCCAAGCCCAGACCCCAGATCTGCCCCTCCCCGCGACACGTCCCCTCGCGGCCCTCTCACCGCCTCCGGGGCTGAGCGCTCGGGGAGCGGGCACTCTGGCGTCCCCGGTTCCTGAGCAGCGTCCGGAGCCTCCGCCTCGGCTCCCGCCGCCGCCGCCGCTCCTGCCGCCGCCGCCGCCGCCGCCTCTTCCGCCCGCGGAGCCTGAGCCCGAGCCCGGCGCCGCCTCACCCCACCCGGCCGGCCCGTGATGTCAGAGCCGGGGAGGGGCGGGAGAGGGGGAGGGGAGGCGGGAGGGGGCTGGGATTCTGGAAGACTCTCGGGATGGGGGCAGAAGTAGGGAGGACTGGACTAGTGACGCTGCCTCTTCCCCTGAACAGCGAACCCCCATTCTCAGATTTAATTTTTCCCAAAGGAACACGCACCTCCCCTTACGACCTTTCGGTGACCACAGTGGCTGGTACCCTAGATGGCAAAGAGTAAGTTACAGTTTGGAAGGCCTTTGGCCTTTGGATCCTTTTAGCTGCTTGACTCCGTGTTTGAAAAAACCTTTTTCTTCCCTTTATGGGTCAGGGGAGCCGTAGTAAAGGACCACTCAGATTTACCCACCTTGAAGGTGGGAGAGCGGGGAGGAGTGGAGTCCGGAAGCAAAGTGGTGGCTTTCTTCGCCTGTCCTGGAGTTACAGATCTTCTCTCTCCAGGATGATGTCAGCTGCCCTTTGTGTTCCTCACACCTTTCCCAAATATACCACCCTCCAGCCTTCCCCCTCCCCCCCCATCATGATGTAATTTTATTTTCTAGGGAGAAAAAGAGCAGCAATGAGCTCAGCATGCAAATATAGACAACTTGCAGAGCCGTGCCTCACTCTCTTTGCCTTACCCCCTGCCCAGGCCCAGCGTGGCAGCTCTCACTTCCCTCTTCCCTGGGGACTTTCCTCCCTCAGATTGTCAGGCAGACTGCGAACGGGAAGGAAGAAGTAGCAAAGCCTCTGTTTTCCTCTCCAGCCTAAAGGGTCTCTCCTCAACCCTGGCAGAGCCTGCCGATGAGGTCTGAGCCCCATCAGTGTCTGTGTCACCTCCGGGGATGCCCCGGCTTCACCTCAGTACCAGCCTGAGTTCCAGCAGGGGACCCTCAGGAAGCCTCAGGTGAGCCCCTCCTTTCTTGAGACTACACTCCCCCAGAAGAGGCTCAGGCTGTGCTGCTTTGGGCCTCACAGCCCTTCTCTCTGTTCTGCATCCTCTCCCCAGGGTGCCCTGTCACTGCCCCTGTGACAGTAACATATTCTCATTTGCTTTTGCATATGTCTCCTTTGTTCTGAGTTGTAGGGCCAAAACCTGTTTTGTTGACCCACCTCTGAGACTCAGAAAAATTGAATGACTTGTCTACAGTCAGTGAAAGGTCCAGGTCTTTCAGAGGCAGCCAGGTAAGGGGACTCGGGCTTCATGCTGGCCTTGCTCCTCTGTTGGGCAGGTTATGCCTCAGAGCCTCAGTGTCCTTGTGGGTAAAGATGGGAACACTGATGTCTGTCTCACAGGGTTCTTGTGAGATTTAGAAATTAAGTCCCTAGTGACTGGCACAGATGGATGGATGCTTAAAACATGGAAGCTATTATTTAGTCTGGGGCTTTCCACTGACCTATGCTAGAGAGTAAGTTCTGCAATATTTTTGTATTGGCCCAGTGCCCATACCATGTATTAAACACTTATTAGATGGGTACAAGTTGGATGAATAGGTGGTTCCTACTTTATACTTATGCCACCATCTCCAGGAAGACTTCCTGGATTTGCCTGTGGAGGGTGAAAACTTCTCTCACCTAAGGTCTCATTCTTCCATGCTCAGACATCCTCTTAAGTTGTCCAGCAGTGCCTTTATACTCAGGCTATGAAAACTGTAACATCTGTTAGTTATGGGCTTGTTCAGTTGCTTGTCCTTCATGCCTAATCCAGACTCCATTACACTTACCCCAGCCTGGGCCGGGGCTGGAGAGAATGTGGGTCCTTCCTGCCAGGATCGCCAGTGGGCCCCCGGGTCTGGGGGAATCCCTGTTGTACAAAATACAAGGTCTCCTCCGCATTCCCTTGACCACCGCTCCAGTCCACACTCTCCCAACTCCCCTTGATTACTGTAATGGTCTGCTAAGAGCTGGCCTCCCTCCCTCTGGTATCTCCATCAGCTTCCTTCCCTCTCTCCATCCTGCTCATCACTGCCAGCTTACATGCTGCTCTTCCTCCCTAGCTACGGGACACCTCTGCGACCTAGCCCTGGGTGCACACCCAGCTCACGGCCACCACGCGAACTCTTCTTGTCTGTGTGGTCTCTCTGTGCCCCTAGCATGGCACACACATTCCGCCAGTGCTTTTGATGTTTTCACCACTTGAAATGTCTCCTCCCCAACTCCTTTGCCCCAGTCAAATTCCACTCTTCATTTAAGACCTAGAAAATACTCATTTCCTTGATGAAGCCATCAAAACCCATTCTCATCTCTCTTTTTTGAGTCTTCTGTATTCATTTGTTCCTTCTTTCAGCAGACATTTACTAAGGACTTTTTGTGTACCAAACCCTGCAGACACAGAGAAAAAGCCTGGGGTCCTTCCTTCCTTCAGGTGCTCACAGTCTGGTGGGATGGACAGACACTAGGATACAGGTGGAAGGAGGTGGATGGAGAGAGTGTGGTGGGAACCCAGAGGAGGGGCTGCAGGAGGGGCCACCTCCAGGAAGGCCTCACCGAGGAAGTGTTATTTGGGCTCAATCTTGCTGTTCAAATAAGAGCTGCCAGGGAGGATGCTATCAAGTGGCACATAATCACTTAATTATATATTGCTTTGTATTTTTCTTCATTGTTTAGTGCGCTTGTCTTGACTTCTCAGTGAGACTAATCAGCTCGAGAGCAGAGACAGGCCCAGCACTCTCTGTTCTCCCAGAGCCTGACAGTGGTTCTGGAGGAACACCATGTGTTCAGAAAAGCGCTGTTGACTTGCAGCAGATAAATAACCCAAGCTTCTCTGGGGTAACTGTCTGGAGGGAAGAGCCCCACCCCCTTGTGATCACAGTCCCCTGAGAAGGTACCCACACCTGAATCCCCCATCCTCTAGCTGCCTTCCTTCTGCCACAAGGGTAAGACCTCATCAGCAGACACTTGCTAATGTTGCCCCAGATCCTTTATTGAGGTCTCTCATTTGACCCAAATACATTAACAAGAGATTGCTAAAGTTCAGCCCCAAACACACTACTCTCCCATCCCTCTGGCCAGGGATAGGACAATCAGAAGGACAGAGGACTTGAGAGAGTAGGGAGGAGTTGCTCAGGTGGAGGGGACAGAAGAGATGGGAACCCGTAGATATGGTGAGAGGGGAATCACAAGAAAGCATGTAGGGAGTGATGGAAGAAACAAAGAATTGATACAGGGACGTAATGGGACAGGAAACAGAAGTCAGAGAAGAGAGCTGAGCTAGTGTGTCAGGAAATCTCAGCACCTAGTGTATAGACCCCAACAAGCCCCATGGCAGAGGACAACCTAGTGTCCCTGGAGGAGCTCGAGGGAGGAGAGGGGAGCAGGAGGAGAGTGGGTGGGGCTGGGAGGCGGCTGCCGCGGCAACTAGTCATCATCGTCCTCTTCATCGTCGTCCTCCGTGTTGATCTCGCCCTCCAGCACATCCTCCAGCCAGTCCTCCAGCTCCTCCGCGGAGGGCAGGTCCTCCTCGTCATCCATCTCCATCCACACGCTGTCCGCCTAGGACACGCACAGACTGGGCTCAAAGCTGAGCCTGACTCAGGTCTGACCTGTCCTCCCACTCTCTGGCCTCTGTACACCCTCTGTCCCCTTCTCTGCCTCTGTCACTGGGCAGGAAAACTGTTCTGATGAAGGTCTAGGTTGGAATAGTGACAGCAGGAATAGAAAGAACAGCTGGATCAGCAACTAGACCTTCTCCCTTTGGTCTTTCTTACAAGCTCTTGCTGTGCTGAGCTTCACAAAACAGACCTCTCTATCCTGCCCTTGATGCAAAACCACTGGTGACTCTTCATGGCCTGGAGAATAAAGTCAGAAAGTCTCTAGCATTCAAGATTTTCCAAAACCTGTCTCTCTGGCATCATCCTCAGAGATCTCTGGACTCTCAAGCCATAAAATCTGACTTGCCTTTTCCCAGGCCTGATACTCATTTTCCTTCTTTTTGACCTTTTGCAGTAACTTTTCCATCAGTTTGGAAATAACTTCTCATAATTTTCACTCATAGAACTTCAGTGTATTTAAATTTTTTAGATTTAATTAATTTATTCTTTATTTTTAAAAATTGAGGTATAGTTGATTTACAACAATCTCCACTTTAAACTCTACTCCTTATAAACCCACTCTGATTCACAAGTAGAGGTCACTGATTTCTGCACCTTCCTGGCATTTTATTTGTATCTCTATTATAGAGTTTATCAGATTTGGTCTCGTAGTTAATGGAATACCTACTTCACCAGTTAGACTGAGAATTATATGAAAACAAATGTTTTTAAAGCATCTGATGTATGTGACAGAGAAGATTTCTGCCTTCTAAAAGCTCAAAGACTACTGGAAGAGACACACATGATACAAATAGCCATATAAAAGTCATGTTCTCAATGCCAAATGGGCTCTGTGAGGAAGAAAATGATTCCAAATGGGAGATCTGGAAGACTTCATGGAGAAGAGAGGATTTGAACTGGGCTTTGAAGGACAAGCAGCCAAATTCCAACAGATAGAAGCAGGCAGGAGTGTGTTCAGGGCAGGAATCTTTCCCTCTTTCCAGCCATTAGACTGGGCAGATCTGATTCCTCTGGGAAGGGCCCTCAATTCCTAGTTAGTAAAGCAGAGAACTAGCTATGCTGGGAAGCAGAGGTGGAGGTCAGCCAGGGATGATGGAAGAAAACTCACGTCAGTAACATTGACGACTCCTATTTGTGGGGCTGACAAGTCGATGTTAAATGTCTTCTCCCAGTATGGAACCAGCTGTAGAGAGACCACATATGGTAAAACTTAATGGAGGCTAGGAATACCTGAATCCAGGAGGGTGTATGTGAGGGCCAGCAAGGGGGAGACAGAGGACCCTGTGAGCCCGCGGTGGGTGGAGGCTGGGTCCAGCCACAGTCCCTGAAGGGAACGGGTAGAACTAAACAGTTGAAGAAAGTAGATATACCAAAAGGAAAGTATCAAGAGGGTCAGCTGGGAACACTGGCCGCTTCCTTCTGAAGAAAACCACTGATAGATAGGAAACCTGCTCTGAGCCTGGATCTGCTACTGATTGACTTTGTGACTCAGGGCAAGTCACTTCTCCCTGACCCTCAGTTTCTGCATCTCTAAGGTAATTATAACCAGTAACTGCCATTGGTCCTCACACTTCTGTTTATCTAGTTCTCTTTTCAACAAAGAATGTCAGGTAACAGAGCCATGCCCTGAGACATGGAGTCTCTGTGCTTTGGTTCTGTGATTCTGTACACCCACATGCAGGGTTAATGTGCCCCCTGCTCCCCCAAACTCTGGATGTCTCTAGAAAGAGCCAGCCCTGGACACCAGAGCTACCTGCTCAGCCTCTGCTCTGGGAATCCTGCGGTCCCCACACGTTCCAACCTGTGTCCTCTCTCTGAGGACGCCCTTGGTGCCCCTGAGCATGCAGTAGGGTCCTCCACTGGGAGGCGGGAATAGGAACTCTGAAACAGACCCCTCAGGACGTGCCACAGGCGAAGGCCCTGCCGGGACAGCAGTGCCCAGCGACGCTTCTTACCAGGGGGAAGTCATCAGGGTCGATCCAGATGATGCTCAGATCAGGATTGTCCGTGTTATCCTGGGCCACGGCCTTGAGTGTCTCTAAGAACTCATAGCCATCTTGGAGGGAACACAGGTGGTAAGGGTGTGGCGGGGCACAGAGCAAACTGGCCTCCAGCTCTCTGCGCCCGCCTCCCATAGCGCCACATGTCTAGCTGGCAAACTGCGCTCTGAAAAAACACATCTTGCGTGTTAAAAGCCTACAGTTGAATTAATACCCCATCTCCCCCTCTCACCAGTGCCCCTGCCTCCCAAATCCAATCCAGTATTCCTTCCTCACCAGGATCAGCTTCCTCTGCAAAGGCCACAATATGGATTCCATCCAGATCGTCCTCCTGTTGAAGGGTGTGGGGAGGAAGACCTTAGCTATACTCCCTGAAGTTCCAGAGCCCACAACAGACCCTAGATCTTCCTTGGACCTGAGTCTTGTGGCAATCTAGCTTCTGAAGCAGGTATATTCTTCTCACCCACACTCCTCTAGCCAACCCTTCAGCCCCAGAGCTTAGGGCTCCTCCTTTGTCATCTTCATCAAGTTCTGTGTGTCCCCCAACTCCTCACACATTCTTCAGAACAGAAACCCTCAACCTTGGCTGGTGCACTGTCTCCTACAAGCAAGATGTGAGGAGCAGCAGGACTAGATGTTCCCAGGACTTGAATTTTCCCATGCTCACCCAGGGCCTGGCCCCATCCAGGGGCACTCACCCAAGTCTCATACATACTCTCAGGCTTCAGTTTCCTCAGGGTTGATCTAGAAGAGAGAGAAAGTCAGTACTCAGAGGGTCAGGACACCCGTGGCTCCAGCGGATCCCTGGAAGCAGAGGCTGCCACGGGGTCACGCCTAGGGCACAGACAGCTAGTAGCCCAGAACAAAGCCATCTGGAAAAGATGAAGCTCCGGGCACCAGGCCCAGATCACTGCATGGTTAAAGCAGGTGGGAGAGCAGAGGGTGGGCCAGGGGACTGGAAAAGAGACTTTTGGGAGAAAGAACTGGACATCTGGATGTTCATTCATTCATGCACAGATTGAGTGTTGGAGATATTCTAAACGCTGTGCTAGGTGCTGCGTAGACAGAATTGAACGAGGCCAACATATTCCTGCCCTGAGGAAAAGAACCATAATCTAGTGGGGGAGAGTGAGAGTAAGCAGTGTTTACAGTGATGAATGGGTGTTCCCAGTTGTGGAGTACTGTGAAGGAAGAGAATTATGTGTGAGTGTAGGTCAGGGTTTCTCAACCTCAGCATTTAACCCATTAAATAGCAATAGCACTCTCTTCAACCAAAAGTGTCTCTGCTGCTGCTGCTGCTAAGTTGCTTCAGTCGTATCTGACTTTGTGCGACCCCGTAGACGCAGCCCACCAGGCTCTGCCGTCCCTGGGATTCTCTAGGCAAGAACACTGGAGTGGGTTGCCATTTCCTTCCCCTAAAGTGTCTGTAGACATTGCCAAATATCCCCTGGAGGACAGTCGTCCCCTACCTCACCACTCCCTCCAGCCCTGCTGAGAACCACTGGTGCAGGTAATGTGTGACAAACCACACGGGTCAGAGGTGGCTTAGGATCCCTGTTCTGACACTCCTTGTGGACTGTCCTTAGCTGAGGTTGTTAAAGGATTAAACAGAATAAGAAAGAGAGCACTTCAGAGTTCCTAGCAGACCACAGGCACTCTACACTGGTCTCAGTCCTCATCAGTGAACTGTACAGATTTATGGGGCACCCTCTGTGCCCCATCAGGCTCTGGTTAAGTGCTGGGGTGCAAAACACTGTGCAAGACCATCGGTGCATCAGTGAGCACTGGTCCCCAGAGATGTATTCATCTCCTGGTGAGACCAGGCTCCTGGGCAGCTGCTGTTCCCCTGGCCCATCTCACAGACGTGTTCCTGAGGAGGAGCCCACCCTGCCCAGGGGCTTGCCCCAACTCCCTACCTTTTGTGCGCCTCCACGAAGTTGACGATCTCCTCTTCGCTGTTGGGCTTGTCTGGGATGGTCACAGGCTCTTCCATGAAGGCCTCGTAGAAATCAATTTCATTCAGCTTTAGGGTCAGCTTCTTTGCCACCTTTTGGGGAAGGGGATGGGGAAATTGGAGCAGGGGACATGCGGACAGCGGGGGAAGCAGTATTAATGGAGAGTGTTACGGGGGGAGCCGGTATCAAACAGGGAGTCAGACAATCTGGGCCCTCGTCACTGCTATTGTGACACTGGACTCGTGTCTTAACTTGTCTGGGCTTCGGCTGAACCTGAGGGGGGTGGGTTAGGTCATCTGAAATCTGTGGAGTGGAGGAAGCCTGGGTGGGGTGGCGTGTGTCGGAAGGGAGGAGGCCCCCCCGTCGACTCTGGGAGGGGGTCTGGAGGGTAGTTGAGAGGAGTGAGGGGGCCTCAGGGTGGCAAACCTTGCTGTCGAAGGTGGCGAAGAAGGGGATGTAGGGATGGAACTCTTCCGCCGCGTCCTCAAAGGCTTTGTAGTCTGAGGAGGGAGTGCAGAGTCAGTCTCTGGAGGAACCAGGGTCTGCCAGGGAACCGCCTCTCTCTATCTCCCCAGTTCTTTGGCAAATGGGTTCACTCTGAGACCCACCCCCTCTAGTTTTCTGAGAAGAGATATGGTGGTGAGGGGGCGGGGAAGGGAAACGCCTTGGTGCCTGTCTGAGAAAATCGCAGAGTGCAGGGAGATCAGAGCAGCCGATGGACCCACCCTGGCAAGAGGGTTGAGGAGGCAGGGGTCTGAGCCAGTGGGTGAAGTGGAGAGGGAGGAGGACAGATGAAATGGGGGACTGGGAGGGGATAGTGGAGTCTGAGGGTTACCCACGCTCTGAGTCTTTGTTCTTGAAGTAGCCAATGAGTTTGTTATCATCTTCAATATTCTCAAATGCCTGCAGCTCTCGTTCACCCTCAATCAGTTCCACAGGGTCCTCTAGGACCTGGAAGAGCAAGGACATTGGAGGAATTACAGTGAGTCTTTGAACTCTGGCAGAGACAGGGAGAGGCATCAGGGAGAAAGGGGCTCTCTGTTGGGGAGGAAGGGCTCTCTGTTGCCTTAGTGTGTTTGTGTGTGAGGCTGGAGTTGGTCAGACGGGCATGAGGTCTTTAAGCAAGGCCATTAGGTCCAAGGGTTCCTCACATCAAGCAGAAACTCCACCAGGGTGTCAGCAGAAAACTCGCCATCGTACTCAATGACTTCATCTCCCTTGAAAACATAAACGCTGTCCTCTTCAGTCAGTCCTAGGGAGGGGGCAAGAGGTGGGCCATGACTCCAGCCTTCCCACTGAGTCCAGGGTCACAGCCCACTCCATAATCGCACTGGACCCTCTCTCCCATCCTTCACCTCCCCTGCCCCCGGCCCTGCTCACCTCCACTGCCTCTTAGCCCCTACATCCCTGAGGTCCAGCCCCCTGGATTTAGCCTAGGTGGCTAGTCTGGCCCCAGCGGCTCTCCAGAGAGAAAGAGGCCAGAGGCGGGTGGGAGGGGAGCACAAAGGGAGATACAGCTCTAGCAAGGTGTCTCCCTTTCTCTGTTTGCCATAACCAAGGACAGATATTCCTTTTACCGCCCCTGAGAACTCTGGTTGCTAATTTCCAGCCCGGGCCCTTTAACCTTCCGCTGTTACTGACCGGATGACTTCATCACTGACCACCCCTCCCCCATCCACATCCGGAGTCCGGTCTCCGGCCTGTGCTGCCCCCTGGCGGCCGGTGCTGTAACATCCGGCCCGCAGCTCTGCGGGTGGGGAGGGGTGGGACCAGGAGCCTGCGGAGGCCTCCCCAGCCGCACCTCTGTTCCCTGACTCCCCCTTTCCTCCAGCACCTAGTCCTGTTTTTTAGGCACGTACAAAGAAGGCCACCTCCACCTCTCTCTGCGATGTGAGCATGGTTCTCTGTAAGGAATAAAGGAGAGCCTGGAATCCCCAGCCATACCCCTGCAAATGTCAGTCTTTTCCCCCGTGCCACCTTCCCCTTCCTGCTCCTCCTACGCTTACCTAGTTTCTTGGCAACAGCCGCGTCCTTCTCAGAGTCCACCATCCCGAAGCCAACACCCTTGTCTTCCAGGACTTGGGCTGCTAACTGAAGGGAGAGTTAGGGTTAAAATCAGCCCCTGAAAGTCTTAATAACCACTAGTTCCCATCTCCTTCTTTTGGGATTCTGGGACTATGAGGTGTTGTTGATGCTGCTCCAGGACCCAGGATATCTCTACTTTCCCTTCTACCCCACCCGCCCTCCCTTTTTTTTTTTTTTTTGGTCTTTGGTTCAAATTTAATCCTTGAACACTTATTGCTCACTTATTGTTGTTTAGGCGCTAAGTCATGTCTGACTCTACGACCCCATGGGCTGTAGCCCACCAGCCTCCTCTGTCCATGGGATTTCCCAGGCAAGAATACTGGAGTGGGTTGCCATTTCTTTCTCCAGACGATCTTCCCCACCCAGGGATCGAATCTACACCTCCTGCTTGGCAGGTGGATTCTTTACCGTAGAGTTACCTGGGAAGCCCGTTGCTCATTTACAGTGTGCTTATTATGGTGAACTTGAAGGCACTGTGCATGTACTTATAGGTTCCTCAGGGATGCTGAGGGTTCTGACTTCAGAATGCCTGGGGCCCTTCCCTCCTTCAGAGCTGAGCCCTGTCCTCCATACTAAGGCCATACTCAGTGTGGGGGTGATGTTCTGCATCCTTTGGATTCTTCTGAGTGACTCCCAATGGGGAGAATTTTAGAGAGAAAGAGGGCGGCGATGGGGTCTGTTCATGTTGCGGAGGAGCCGGGAGAGATGGAGAGCAGAGGTCACTGGGGCAAATGCTGGTTACCCTCAGAGGCAAAGAGACTGACAAAGAGGCTAGAGGTGAAATAGGCCTGGCTTTCCTCAGTGCAGTGGGACTTTGCTTTTCTGTCCACTTCAGCCTGTCCTTAGGCTATGGAGTGTCAACCCTAGGTCCCTGTCCCTGGGCCCCGCCCACCCCACCCCCTCCTGCCAGGTTCTCAACCCTGATGCACTCTGCATTGGGCCCAGCTTGCAGCTTTACCCCACCTTTACCCATCTGAGTACCCGAGTCTGTGCTCAGATTCTCAGGAGGACAGGGCAGGGAGACCGTTGGCAGGTGGATGGCCAGGGATGCTGAGCACTCAGGATAAAAATACTCAGCTCATTAATCAGATGGCAGGTTCCAGCATGCGGCAGGGGCGCACAGAAATGAGAGCCTGCAATCCTGGTGTCTTGCCCTGAAATACTCCAAGCTCTGGGCAAGCTGGGGCCTCTATGTGCTGCCAAGCTAGAGGAGGGGCTGCAGCAGCTTGGACAAGGAGACTCCAACACATCCCGGCTCCTGGAGGGCTCTGTGACCAAGTTCCAATCATTTACAAACACGGGCTTTTTTTCTTGTAACAATAGGCCCTCTCTCCTTTATGCCTGAGGTCAGCTAGCGGGTGAGGAGAGTCTTCCCACAAAGACAATTTGGGGAAGGCATGGTGAAGCCGCCTCCAAACACAAGAATTTTCCAGTCGGCGTGCCCAGCTTGATCCAGTAGGGGCAGATGGGATGGGGGAGGGGAGGGGGCCTGAGAGGCCAGTGGGAGGCATGGTGGGCTCCTTTATACCTTTAGCTGTGAAATCAGTGACATGCTGGCTGCCCAGGTAGCTCAGTGGTAAAGAATCTGCCTGCCAAGCAGGAAATGTGGGTTCCATCCCTGGGTCGGGAAGGTCCTCTGGAGAAGGAAATGACAACCTACTCCAGTATCTTGCCTGGGAAATCGCATGGACAGAGGAGGCTGATGGGCTACAGTCCATGGGGTCACAAAAGAGTCAGACACAACTTAGCGACTAAACAATGACATGCAAATAAAATGTCAATGACATTTGTATTTATACCGTTTGGAACTCTTTGGGGTGCAGCCCCTAAAGTGTATAGAGAACGGGCACATTCTGGCTAGGATGGTAGATTTGGGGATGCACTGCAATTCCTTTCCTTCCCATGAAGAAATTCTCTTTTCCTTTTTTGCCCCCCTTCCAAGGTCACCCCAGTCCTAGCCAAACCTAGCACTACCAGCCTCCTCTAGCATGGAGGAGAGAATCTCCCTGCAACTCCCCTCTTTCCTAACATTGCCTGACTGCAGGGGTACTTTGGGGTTCCTGAATCTCTCTCTCTTTTGGCCAAGGTCATATGCCACTTGTGTCCTGTTAGTGGAAGCAGGATCCTGTTGCACTGCTTCTCCCCACAATCCCACCCTCAAAGATCCATGTGGCATTGTAGGAGAGAGGGGTGCAGAGAGGGGCTGAGCCTGCTCTGCCAGCCTGCAGACCCCGTCACTCACCTCCAGGATCAGCTCCTCCATCTCAAAGTGTCTTTGTGAGGCCTTGTCGTCCTCGGGGGGTTCGTGGTAGAGCAGCGCCAGCACCTCGTACTTCTTGAACACATTCTTGTAGTTCTTTGCGTTGACATTGACCACACGGTCCACACCATCATACTGAGGGAAGTCGAGCCCTTCCTCCCCCTGCACCCCTGGCTTGGGTGACCCTAGCACCAGCAGTAACAGCAGTGCCAGCCGCAGGCCGGGCACAGCTCTGGCCCCCATCCTGTCTGCAGCGCTCATGGAGGTAGTAGGATCTGTGTTGGTGCGTCTCGTCTAGAAGAGGTTAGCTGGGGTAGGGAGGGGCCCCTGGGTCCCAAATCCTGAGCTGGGGGCTCACAGTGGGGGTGGGGTGGGGAATGGCCCAGAGCAGTGGACAGAGGACACTGCCGGTCCTGGAGAAACTGCCGACAGAGCCAAGAGAAAAAGGGTCTGGAGGAGGACTAGGAGCAGGGGGCGGGGAGGAACCGGAGCTGCCCCTGGGGTTGGCACCCTCGGCCCCCACCTGGTCCTGTCTAAATATGTCTCCAGGATTGGCAGCGGAGACGGATAACCTTCTGAGGCCAGGGCGGCTCCACAAGGGCCGGGATCCTCCTACCTCCACCGCCTCTCCCCCAGGCCCCGGGAGCCTCCTTCCCCTCCCCCGCACCCAATGTCCAGGGCTCCTCAGCCCCTGTCCCCACACGGGCCTAAGAGCTCATCACCATATTAAGAAAGGAAGAAGCTGGAGCTAAAAATAAGATGAGATGAGTCGGAGGTAAATGAAGCTGGGGCTCGGGGAGGGAAGGCTTGGGGTAATTAGGGAGAGTTGAGAGAGGGCAAGGGTACTCAGAGGGAAGCTGGGCTGCAGACGAGGTGGTCTTCCGGGTCAGAGGTTGGACTGGTGATACATTCGTAAAGGAGGGACAAGTGCTGTATTGCCTCTGAGTCCTAAAACCTGACGCTCTCCTCAGGGTCAGGTCTGTTTGTTTGATCCTGTGGAGGAAGGCAGGGAGTGCAATCCAGGCTGCAGGAAAGAGACCCCCTGCACTTCCCTTTAAAGAACCAAGACCAAGGGTGAGATCATTCCCCAATAAAAGATGGAGCGGTGTCCAGGACCGGCGCCCTGGCTCCGCTCCAGCCAGTTTCCTTTGCTTCACTCAACACGCCTAACTGGAGAATGCAGGGGAAGGACGGGGCGTGGGGCGTGAAGTGCTGGCCCACAGCCGCCCTGGGAGATGCTGATCTGGGGCTTCTCTGGCCACGGCCCTGAGATGAGAAGGAGAGCCATTTGGCTGTGGCCTCCCGCTGGTGCTCTCTACTTTGATCCTATGGGACTGGCTTTCTAGGGCACGGTGGAAAGGAGGCTTCCCCAGGATGAATGATTCCAAGGAAAGCAAGTTGCGACTACTCATTCCTACGTCTTTGACAAGACAAAAAGGACCAGGTATAAAGAATAGGGGGAAAAAATTAACACTGGGGAAACATGAGGAGGTGGGGCCCGGAACACGGATGTTGATTAATTCTGTGCACTAAGCGTCAAAGCAGAGCTGGGAGGGTGGGCCTCTCACCTCCTAGATCCCAGCTTGGGGGTGAGGGCAGAGTGGGTGAGTCCAACTCTGGGTACCTTGAAGGAGGGACCCTTTTCATGGCCCCACCACCATCCAGGGCTCACGCACAGATAAGCTGAGGCACAAGGGAGGCCAGAGAGAGGCTAGCTAGATCAAAGTCAGAAGCCTCCAGCCCTGCCCTGAGGTATCTCTGACGCTGGGGGGGCACGTGTGTGTTTTGCACCGTGAAATTATGTTAGAGGAGGAATTTTTCCACTCTCCCGTGGGGCAGACCTTACACAGCTAAGCAAGGAAGGCCAGGAAAATATCTCAGGAACGTGGCAGGAGTGCATCCAAGAGAGACAGCTGTCGTTGGAGCAGGAGAGGCCAGATGTAGCTAAGCAGGGCATGTTGGAGCTGGAGAGACCCCAGAACGCATCTCCTGGAGTCAGGGAGGCCAAACAATGCGCTCTGCCATCGGAGCAAAGACTACGGAGAGAAGGGCAGACCCACCCAGATATCCACGACCAGATGACGTCCAGCCCTGACTCCTCCTGCTGTGCGCACTCTGGGGGTGGGGGTGGGGGACACCGGGACAGAGACACTGGGACGTTAGACTCAGTTCGTCCTGAATCTGACCTCTCATACCCTGGGGTGTGAGCTGGGATGAAAAGGTGCCCCGGGCCTGCCCCATTCTTCCCTCCTCTCCTGCAGTTACCAGGCTGCTTCATCCTGGCCTGCTCCCCCTCCTTGCCCCTGGCTCTCCAGGGACACCCGGAGCCCTTCCAGCAGCTGCACCGCTCCTCTCCACCCTGTCCTCCTTTCTGATGCTTTCCTCTCTGCTTTCTATGCAAGCCCTTTCCCTCTAGGCCCCTGCCTTCAGGCGCAGCCACTGGTATCAAATGACCCTAAGTTGGGGCCTCTGTATTTTTAAACCACCAGACACCCGAAGCTCTTGCTACTGAAACCTGAGGAGTTGGTTTCACACTCCCTGCCTCACACACACACACACACACACACACACACACACACACACACACAGCCTGGCCCCTCTGTCTCCCAGGGTCTGGTTCAGCCCTGTCAGCAGTGGGGAGGGACCCCAGACTGATACAGCCCTGTCCCCAGGAGACCTTGTGTTGGAGGAGAGGGGAGCAGGTGGGAGAGAGACCTCCAAGGAGGCGTGCCTGGCGTAGGGGGAAGGTGGCTGGTGTCCCTTACAGACGGGCCTTCTCTTTGCTAGCCCACAGCCTCTCATCCTCCAGATTCCACGGCCCTTCCTCCATCACTAACCTACTTTTTTTTTTTTTTCTTTTTCATGATGCATTTGTAGATTATTGGCCCAGCCTTCATTGTAAGACTAGCCTGAATAGTGGTTAAGGCCACAAGTTCTGGAATCAGAATCATCTAAAATACCAGGTCGGGTGGTAAGAATGTGTTTGTTGTACGGATTAATGGATGATGTGACTAAGGCCTTTGTCCACTGCCAGACATAATGTGCAGTCACTTAACACATGTGCTTTGTTTTTGGTGACAGTCTACGATTTCCCCCAGCTTTTCTCAGCATTTCTCTCTCTGTCTCTCTGCTTTTTGGCATAGCCAACTCTCTCCTCTAAAAAAAGCCTGAGAGTGAACCGATCCCCAGGGCCGAGTAGACCAGCTCACAAAGCAAAAGCCAGCTAGTGGGTGAAGAGGAAGGAAGAGCTGCCGCCAAGGGTGGGCAGGAGAGAAAGTTCCTGGGGACTCCACCCTGACCTGAGATGCAGCAAGTGCCAGGCTCAGGCTCAGAGGCCAGGCTTTGGGGAACGGCCATCACCTGTATTGAGCTGGAGCATGAGTGGACAGGTGCCATGCCTGAAGCAAAGGCTACAGGCATCCAGACAGCATTGTTTCAGTCTCTGCTGCAAGGCTATGCCAGGGAAAATGGCCAAGGGATGGGATGGGGTCTAGATGCCCTGATAACTAGGACCGAGGGCAGGGACACCAGATCATCCTCGGAGGTGGGGCAGCCCCCACAGTCACCACGGACCACGTGGCCCCTTCCAAATCTTTTAACCTCTCCGGACCTCCTGTCCTTCATGATGAAATAAGGTGTCTTCTAGCATGAAGGTTCTACGAGTCTGTAAGTTATCTGAGGAACTGAGTGGGCGCTGTTTCCCCTCTATAAGGTGTGGCTTCCCGCTCCTCTCTCATCCCCTCCATTTCTCTGGTCCCAGCTTGACCTGTCCTGTCCTTGCTATCAGTTGAGTTGGAGAGTAACTTTGAGGGGATGCCCTCGGCGGGCAAGGGTGCTGGATTCTGATCCCTTCCCAGCCTGGCCACTGAAAGACTCCCCCTGCCCGGCTACCATGAATGAAGATCTAGGGAGAGAGCATCTCCAAAAACCACATGCGACACAGCCAGGAGCTGAGGGCTGTTGCAGATGTTTACTCTCTAGACTGGTTACTGAGCCCCTCGCTGGGCTCCAGGAAGACACAGGATGGGCTTCCCCTCACCCCACCTCATCTCCTCCTACTCATGGTGCCATCAACCCAGCCCTAGGATTGCCTGTCTCTCTTGTCCAACGTTCTTACTCTTGGCGTCTCTCTGCCCCAACTAATGCGCTCTCAGATGTTTTCCCACACTCGTTACCTCTAAACCTCCCCCACCTGGCCTCAGAACACCCCGATGGCATGAGAGCTCTTCCTCTCTGGAGGTTAGTAGTAGGTTTCCTTCTCCACCCAGCCTGTGGAAGAGAAGAGACCAGAGTGAACGGGGGGAGGCATCAAGGGGAGCAAGACAGAAGGTGAGCCAGGATAGGGTGGGAGGCCTGAGAGGGGAAGGCAGGGCCCCACGGGTTGGAAGCAGCAGCCTGGTGGGGTCAAGGACTGGCGGGCAGAGCCCAGGCACTGCATCGGCCAGGCAGTGAGCTGGGGAGAGGGGCCATGGGGCTGCAGGAACCGTCTGCGATGGGACAGTCAGGCCAAGGTGCAGGGGAGCCTCACCGCCAGGATGACGGCGAATGATGAATCTTCTCGTTTCATCATACACAAAGATGAGGAGGCTGTAGGGAGTGGCACACAGCCACCAGGTTATCCTGCAGAGAGAAGCTGGTCAGCAGAGGGGGGGGATAGAGGGGCCTGAGAAAGGCAGGGGTAGAGCGTGGCTGGGAACCGAGCGTTTCGTTTATTGTGTGTGTAGGGTACGGGAGTTAGAGAAGGTGCGGTTCGAGGTTCGGAAAAAGAAGGAGACCAGCGCTTTACAGGAACAGATCCCCTTTGATGAGGCGAGAAGGGGCAGCAGTCAGATTAGTGAGCTGCCGCACTAACCCCAGAAAAGTAAGGGTATATAGGCTTGTATGTGGAAATCTACTGTCTTTTTTTTTTTAATGTTTATAGTGACTTTTATTTATTTATTTTTTCATTTATTTTTATTAGTTGGAGGCTAATTACTTCACAACATTGCAGTGGGTTTTGTCATATATTGACATGAATCAGCCATGGAGTTACATGTATTCTCCATCCCGATCCCCCTTCCTACCTGCCTCTCCACCCGATTCCTCTGGGTCTTCCCAGGGCACCAGGCCCGAGCACTTGTCTCCTGTCTTAAGGGGGCCTGTTCTTCTTCAAGGTTGTTCGGAGTAGTTATTTCTCAAATGGCTGGGGCAAGGAATTCTGGAGATTGGCCAGAGGCTGGGCCAGCTGTGAGCTGGGCGTATCAACTTTAATGTCCATTTTTCTCTTCAGGTAAGAGACAGTTCTTTGTTTTGCATAGAATGGTGGGGAGGACCGGAGGGGCATTTTAACTCCAGGCTGTCCTGAGCCCTGTAACTTTCCTTCAGTGTGGAAGGTTGATTCCTACCTTTTGAGGAGGTCAGAGCCTGGAGACTGAGGGTGGAGGGCCCAGGACGGGAACATAAAACGCCAATGAGGACAGAGTGGGATAAATGCCATATAAGAAGTATGTGGAGTGTTCATGGAGATTATATACTGACGTTCGTGGAGCCACTGAGGGAGACCCCCCTTGGCTTTCTGGGTTCTCTAGCTCTTGAACCCACAAGCAGGATGGTCCGTCTTAGGCTAGATGTGGGGGATATCTTGCCAGGGAATATATAGACTCCTCCATAGTGCACAGATGGGGGAATCTTTTTCTTCCTGAACCTCTTCAATAGACCAAGGAGCTGACTCCAGAGAGGGGTTGGGTCAGGACCACATGTGTCCCTTGGAGAAAGATGGCCTAGACCAGCACTGTCTGATAGAAATATACTGTAAGCCACATGTGAAGTTTATATTTGCTAGTAGCCACATGAAAATGAAACAAGTGAAGTTATTTTAATAATATATATATATTTTTAATAATATATTTTATTTAGCCCCAAATATCCAAAAGATTATTGTTTCAACACATAATCAATATAAACATAATTAATTAGTTATTTTATCTCCTTTTTTTATCCCCAGCCCTTGAGATCCAGTGAGTATTTTACATTGACAGTGTGTCTCAAGGAAGACACATTTTTGGTGGAAAATGTAGTCCAACCAAAACAATAGAGTTGTATTTAATAGAAAAATATTTGACAGTGCTTTAGTTTTTAACTTTCCGTAAACTAAAATTATAAATTCAATTTCTCAGTCTCACTAGCCATGTTTGCAGAGCTCAATAGTTGCATAAGGGTGTGGCTACCATGTTGGTTCATGTTGGCCAGGCCATGGTTCATTATGTGTGCACACACATAGCCTTCAGCCAATATAAACAGTTATGTATATACAGTCATGCATCCATTCAGCAACTATTTTCATATGTCTACTCTGTGTGCTAGGTCCTGGGGAAATAAACTGAAGACATGATGGTCTTTGATCTCAAGAAGCTCAAGTGATTGGGGAAAAGAGATATACACACAAAATGAAAGATAAACACAAAATAAATAATCACCATATTAGGTGGTGAGTTTTATGGTCAAGGTTTATACGCAGTGTTTGGGAGCATGGTTAATGCCCAACCACATTTACTAGCATTTATATGTTGAGATTAATAGCAACATCAAGTGAGCTACTATTAGTAAAGTGCCCCCCAGGGCCCAAGTGCCATGCTCCATGTATTATATGCATCTGTACATATAATTCTCAGAACAGTCTGCCAAATGTGTGTTATTGAGACTTTGCTGTGAAGCTGAGCCTCAGAGAGGTTACCAACTTGTTCAAGATCATAAAATAATATACGATACAGTTGAACTTCAAACCTGGAGTTGTCAGCATCTAAGGGCAGTGCCAATGTCTTAGTAAACATTAATTTAGCAGCTACAGAATGCAAAACATTGTGTAAAACACTGCAAGGGACAGAAAGGTGAGCAAAATGTATAATCACGTAGAAAATCAGTTGGGAGAATATACACTAAATCATTAATAGAGGCTACCAATACGGAGTTGGGGGAAGGGGGAGTGAAATGGGAGTTTTGGTTTTTTCTCTATAAAACTGTTAAATGAAAAAATTTCATAAGCATATGCTAATATAAAAAATGAAAACATAGGACTTGAACTAAACAAGGTACCAGATAGTACCTTGTGAGTGTACCCACTCACATACACACATACGTATGGAAACATATTTGCAGAAGTACCGCAAAATCAGCCTTGCATAGATTAGGCCATTTTATGATTGCATCAGTTCCGAGCAGTATGTAGCCTGGGACAGCTATACCATGCATTATTATAGAAGAGAAACCACTCTGTTAAGCACTGGTGAGTCCACTGAATTTGCATGTCTGGTGAGTGCAATCACTCATTCCTAATCCCTCCTCAAATAAGGTGTGTTTATGGGAGCACAGGCGGTCCTCTCTACATCACTGAGTGCCGCCTGCCCCGCTTGACTTCCCACTCACCCGCACTTCCTCCCACATGCTTCCCCTATGCCCAGAGCAGCCTCGCCCTGCCCCCCGCCCCTTACTCACTTGAGTGGGTACATTCTCAGGGCCATGTCCATGCCTGGAGTGTAGGACAGAAAAGCGGCCAGGATTGTCTCCTCTAGGATCCCAAATATGAGGATCTTGTTTCTGAGCGGAAATGTTTATGGAGGTGAGGGAGATGAGGAGGGAGAGGTAGGGGGTGCAGTTTAGGGCAGGGCTGGGGCTGGTGGGCGGCACTCACTTCATGCCCTGCTGGAAGATTGAGTTGCGACGGGTCTTACAGATGATGAGGTCAGCCCACTGCACGATCACGATGCTGACAAAGAAGGCCGTTTGGCACGTGAACTCCAGCACCTTCCGCTGCTCATAGGTCTAGGGAAAGATGGGCAGAGGGGAGCCATCAGCGTCAGGAGGGATTCAGCTATGCCTCAAAGGCTGCTTCTTTCTCCTGCCTTCCCAGACCCCAAGGCTGAATTAGGTCCCCTCTTTAGATTCCCACAGCCCTTCTCACATATCTCTGTCCTAGCACTTTTCATTTTGTGTTGTGTGTTTATGTTTTCCTTATCTGATTGAGAGCCCCTCAAGGGCAAGCACCTTGTCTGTTTATCTGTGTCCTCCCTCCCCAAGCTTTGTTCAGTGAGTGGCTGGTAGTATGGCTCATAAATAGTTGCTAAGTTAATAAGAAGAGTGGTGTAAAAGAAGGGGGACTCAAGAGGAAAGCAGAGTCTGAGGAAACAGGTAAGGAAGATGGGACTGTAGGGAATCTGCATGCAGAGGGGAAGGGCTACCCGAAGAGTGGTCCGAGATGGGAGGCATTCACTCATCCATTCATTCATTCTTTCATTCACATTTTGCACAGAAGGAAGTTAGAGTCCAGTGGGGAAGATAAATATGCCATGTCAGCACAGTGGGTCGGTTATAAGAGGGACATCACAGAGGGCTGTGCAAGCACAGGAGAGGTGCATTTAAATTAGATTGGGGAAAAAGCCCATTAAAAAAAACAACAGCATGTTTGTGGGACTTCCTTGACTGTCCAGTGGTTAAGACTTCTCCTTCCAATGCATGGGGGTGTGGGTTCCATCTCTGGTTGGGAAGCTAAGATCCCATGTGCCTCATGGCCAAAAAACCAAAACAAAAACAAGAGAAGCAATATTGTAACAAACTCAATAAAGACTTTAAAAGAGGTCAACATCAAACAAAATCTTTCAA